GTTTTAGTTAGTTTTGTTAAAATATATTTTCCATTTTATTACAGTTTTTATTTATTTCAGTTAACTAAAACATTTTTTCAACTTAGTGTTTGTCATTTAGTTAGTTTTAGTTACCTATAATCCTTGAAATGCTGTGAATTTAGGTAAACTCAGGGCTGGATCTTGAATAACTTAGTGATTCTGTATTAAGTTGATTATGATAAAACAACAGGATAACGATTTTAGACAAATAAAAATGTTTTACATTAACTGACTATAGTGCTGTGCGGTATACCGTTTTGTACCGAAAGCTGGCTTTTATTTGTGTTTTACAAATTTTCTGAATACTGGACATACCGGTTTAAATAACCCGAACACGTTCGGAACATTTCGTTGCGGTAGCAAGTGAACTGTTTCTGAGGACATTTTTCCTCGCAGCACCGCTATGTGCATTAGCATGCTAATGTTATTGTTGGAGCAGCTTGTTGGAGTAACTGGGGGCGGGTGGCATTTCAGCTGCTTATATTGACTGAAGTAAAAAAAATAAAACATCCTGTTTTCACCATCGCTGAATGCAGTAAACACCTCTTCAGTGACAAGCATGCTTACACTGAATGTTGTAGGGGTCACCTCGAGTGAAGAAACAAGATTTTCTGCGTCTAAGCAGGCCTCGGACAGGCCTGACGAGAGGACAGGAACTCTGTTACAAACTGAACTCTATTTAGGCCATGACAGGCCATTCTAACCGTGGAAGAGAACCCCTCAGTTCTCTTAATCAGATAATGGACAGAACAATCTCTTCTGTTCATGATTCATTTGTCATTTAACTAAGAATGTTTATGTATTTGTTAAATCATGATAATGCCTGTCACAGGAAAAGTAGAACAACTTCTTTTCTCTTATTGTGCCTTAAAGATTTATAATGGTATAAAAAATCAGAGAATCTGATTACGTTTTCATTGTGTTTTTATGCAAATCACTGTTTTTATTTTACTGTGAACACAGTAATATAATTGTGGATTTTTCCTGAGAAAATCTTTCATTTATCTGGACTAACAGAATGGTTCAGAGTTGATTATAAACAGAAGTGTTAATTAATCATCATAAATGTTTTGAAGTGATTTCTTTTAGAGTCTTATCAGAAGGAAGCTAAAAAGAGGTTATCATGATGTTGTTTGTTCAACCACAGAGTTAACCTTGACTGGCGCCTGGCAAACTTTATCCTTTTTCTGACTCATCTCAAAGCCTGAGGGCGGAACCAAAGTTTGTCCGTTTTTATTACTAACCCGGACGGCTTTGAGCATACTCTGACTTCCTAATTCAAACTAGGAAGACTGCTGTTTATCCTCTTCCGAGGAGAATCAGCTCTGGCTGGAGATCTAAACCCAACACGCCAAAGGGTGGATTTTCACAGCCAGGGATTCGACAAGCCTGTCGGAATCCCACACGAGGCTTCAAGCCTCCAAAGCATTTGTTTTACCTTCCGATGGAGAATGTGATTTTATTTTGAAGGAGAAACCGGATTCAGCTTGAATTTTTCTAGCTTGGACTGAAGCAGACGCAAAGTTACCAGAGAAATAACACCTGTTTGCCAATGGCCGGTGAGAGAGCCGACAACAGTTCACTGACTGATCTGAGGCGAGTCAGCTTTTCTACTCAGAAGGTGTCTTAAGAAGTCATCAGGTAAAAGGCTGAATGTTTGTGGTGACGTGGCCGGCAGAAACTGAGCTTAGAAAAGACGTGCAGTTCCGGTTGACTCACATTTTGTTAAAGTAAAAGTATTAGAAATACTAACCTTACTTTTCCTCCTGTCTATTATTATTTGCCAGAAACTCAATCTAAAGTGCCAGTAAATGTTTGGTTATTTAACATCAGATCTGACGTTTTACTGTTCTATTATAAGTAATTTGAGTTGATGTGGGTTGAATTCGGATGCGGGTTCTTATCTCATTAATTCTGAAAGCTTGTTATAGGAAACTGACTACCCAGAATTAAGTTGCAACTCTTCTACAAGTCTGTTGTTGAGAGCGTCATCTCTTCTGCCATCATCTGTTGGGGCAGCAGCATCAGAGCCAGGGACCTAAAAAGGCTAAACAACCTGATAAAGAAGGCTGGTTCTGTTCTGGGGACGACTGTGGAATCTCTGGAGATGATGGTGCAAAGAAGGATTTTACATAAAATCAAGAACATTGTGGACAACCCTGACCATCCTCTTCATCAGACTGTCATAGAAAGACAAAGTGTCTTCAGTCGGAGGCTTCTTCAACTTCGCTGTAATACAGACCGCTACAGAAGATCTTTCCTGCCCACAGCCATCAGCATCTACAATAAGTCTTTACTTAAACGAGTTACAACAACACCTAATTTCCCTCTGGGATCAATAAAGTATTTTTGAATTGAACTGAATTGATTTGTTTAATTTGTGTAAATAAATGATTGCATAGACATTATGAATCAAATTGAACTCATCTGAGTGTTCCACTTATTGTGTCATTTTCACTTCGCACAGTCAAGATATTAACGAAGAGTGAGAAATCCCTTGGTAAGATATTTTCCTCATAACCTTGTGTGTGAGAGATGTGGGAAAGGCTTTTTTCATCCTAAGCTAGTCCTCTACAATGTGCAACGTTTTAATGGAGATGTTAATGCACTTTAATGTGCTTCTATTGTGAAAAGCCCAGGGGAAGTAGTTTTGTAGTAGAGCTGAGTTCACTGGTGTGCAAGGTAAGTCATCCTTTTAAGTTTTATTAACACACAACATAGACCCAATAATGTTTTCCAACCCTTCATGATTGAACCTAAATGCATGATTACTGTCTACAACCAGTCAAAGAAGAAAAGATGTACAAGAGGAGGAAAACAGCGACACAGACAGAGGTAAAGTAAAAGAAACAAGTCAATAAGCAAAGTTTGTACATTTTATTATCAGCTGAGCTGTGATGAAAAAAGAGTCAAATACTGTGATATAACTGAATGTAATATAAAACATTATAACAGTATAAAAACAATTAAATAATCCCACTATTACCTTCTACTACACAAAGTTGTTTAAGAACAAAGTCATTAGTGCAAATAACAAAAAGCAACAATATAACAAAAATATAAAAACAAAAACGTCAACACAACAAAAGCTAACTTCCAATGCACACAGCAAAAATGTAGGTGTTTCTGCTAATGACTCCAAACCACGCTGAGACTCAGCAATGACTTCATTTTTCACTTTGTTTGTGAATAACAAAGTCAGCAGTGTAAAAAATGAAAACAAATGCACTGATGTTTTATCAACCTGACACTGATGCTCATTGCTGCACCCACCCTTAGGGCTGGGCAAAATCTTATTCTGTGCAATTAATCATCAGAAAAACATCAACAATTAAAATTTTACCACTTTGCTTTACTGTAACTAGTGCCATGGGATGACATATTTGTGTGTGACACACACGCACAAGTCAAAAGCACTTGTGAGCTCGTGGAATATTTTGTAACTAAAGCTCTGCTGTCAATCAACATAGTGTAATTATTAAAGTCACAATAACAATTAAAACACAATAACAATTAATTGTGATTGATTTTTTTTTTTTTTTGCCACATCGCCCAACCCTAATATTTATTCACCATTACACTGAAATCACTGTGATGAAATCTTACAGAATTGAAGTGAGATTTCTGGTTGCTACTTTAAGTTTGTGTGGCAGCAGTGCAGAGATGTCAAACAACAAAGACCAGAATGATTACATCATTCTGTGATGGATAGAGAAATAAATAAATAGGAGCCATATTTACTCCTGAAACAGTGACTGCGCAGCAGAAATATATCTCCTGTAAGGTACTGACAACATACATCCTTCAGTAAACTTGAACACTCAGATAATAACTACATCAGATACATCAGCTGTTCCCTGCCTGCAGCAGCTTTTACATGAAACAGTGACTTACAGCAAACAACTAAATTATAGTTCTTCATTTGGCCAATGACACCAGACAAACACCACATGGGCTTTGTGAACAATATATGTGTGTGTGTGTGTGTGTGTGTGTGTGTGTGTGTGTGTGTGTGTGTGTGTGTGTGTGTGTGTGTGTGTGTGTGTGTGTGAGACACACGCACTGAATGTGTCAGCACCTGCTCAGGACTCCCTCCCCCACAGAGGAGCTACAGAACCACAGCTGTTCTGCTGCAGCCTGGCTCTAGAACCTGTCTGTTCCTGTTGAGATGTCACATCTTTCCTCAACATTTCTAAACACTTCAGGCTCTGAGCTCCAATAAAACTTAGAAGATATCACCAACAGTTGATTTTAATTAAAGCAAAAGTAATTTTTAAATTTAACTGAACTCCTCACAAGGTTTCATCACTCTGATCTGTTTTGGTTCTGATATCTGACACCCTGCAATATTCTGTAGAACCTGATTATTCAGGTACTGTATTTATTCATGTATAATACTAGAAATTTAACCCTAAAAATCATCCATAAAGTGTGTGTGTGCGCGCGCGCGCGCATGTGTGTGGGTAGTATTACACATGGGTTATTGATGATTAGATTTTTTATGCTTTTTCAGCTCAAAAAATGATCGTATTATACTCGAGATAGTATTATACATGAATAAATACACTAATTAACAAAAATAAAAATAAGATAGAACTTGACACCAACTTTCGCCAATAAGTAGTGACCAACTGTTAGCAGTTTTGTTGGAATCATCACAGGTCTTCATGATTTAAATCATCTCAAAGTGAACGAATGGATGGGGGCCTGTGATCTCGTCAAACTACCACACTAATGTGTTTAGCAGGTCTCCCTGATGATGCACACAAAATGTGGTGCAGATGGGATCATTTTAGGGGTTGAACAACCTCAGATTTTTTAAGGTCGATGTCAACATGATAAAAGTCGAGTTGACATCGACTAGTCGATGTGACATCATAGGCAGGTGCACCTGCAGGATTTTATCAGAGGGTACGTACAAAACTACGGCTGCCACAAACGATTTTTTTTTATAATCGATTAATCACCGTTTGTTTTTTCGCTTAGTTGACTAATCGGATCATTCGTTAATTGAATATAAATCATAGAGCTTATCGTGCCAGAATGCAGCTGCTATTATATAACCATGGTTAGATTTTAGCTATATGCTAACTAGGGCTGCCACAAACGATTATTTTAATAATCGATTAATCACCGATTATTTATTCGATTAGTCGACTAATCAGATCATACGTTAATTGAATATAAAACATACAGCTTATCACGTCAGAATGCAGCTGCTATTACATAACCATCGTTAGATTTTAGCTAGCTGCTAACTAAAAATAATTGCTGTGAAAGGCAAGGTCTACTC